TGGAACTCAAAAACTTGTGGAAGTGAATATTGAAAACTAAAAATAAATAAATTTATATTAAAAAAAATAATTAAAGATAATTAAAAGTGAGAGAGGGCACTAACTGGGTGGAGGGCAGGGCAGGAAAAAAAAAAAGAAACTGCTTCCTGCTGGCAAAGGGTGTGGAGCTGTCACTGCCTCGAGGGGGTCCCAAAGAGGATGTTCACTGTGTGGGAGTTTGGAGTCTGAATTAGAGATCAGAAGAGGTCTTTATACTTTCTCATGAGAAAGGGCACAGCCCTTGTCACTCAAGCAGCTGCAGCCAAGGAGTGGGCCTGCTGGCTGTGAGAAGCAAAGTTTTATAGCCCTAACGTGTGCCCCCTCCCCCCCACTCTCTTACGTCTTTTCCCCATTGGCTGGGTACTCAAGGCATACAATCTAAACACGGTAGCTAATACCCAATAGAAGCAAATATACCCATATTTGGGAGCTAGATGCATGCATGTGCCAGGAAGCGGGAGCGACCAGGAACTGCCTGTGCTAATGTGGATTTGAGAAAGGGGAAAGTCAATTCAGGGCTTTCTAGAAAAGTGAAACTTAGGCTTGAGGGAACTGCACTTTAGGCTGTCTCTCACAACTGGAACCGAGCACAGGCTGCATGCAGGGAATGATGTGGGGACATTGGCTGGTACTTGCTGTTTGCTGCCAGCTGTAGGTGAGTGGCCCATTGTCTGGAAGACACAAATCTGACAGAAAAATACTGCAGGGACTAGATTTAGGGCCCAACTTTGAGAGGATAAGACATCCTTAGCTCTGTTTGGATTCAGATAATTCAGTTTTCCAACCATGCAGTGTCAAATCCCCCTCATAGCGAGACTCAGCAGTAGCCAAGTGGGTAGCATTCCCTTTCAAAGGAACATAATGGGGAAACTGAGCCAGGAGGATCCCGTCTTAAACTGAGGCCTAAAATTGTCCTCTCAGCTTTTCCCAATGCTGACTTCCCACCAGTATCACCTTCTCTGAATAGCTTGTGGCATTTCTCTCAGATGGTGGATTATTGATTATCGATGGATTATGACCCATCGGACAACTCAAAATAAAATCCTGTATGCTTTTACCTCAAACGGCAAGTTTAACTAATCACAGCTTAGGAAAAGCTTTTCCAGGATTTACATCTCAAACTTAAATTTGTCCTGGTGTAAAAAGTCAATCATTAGAGATTTCTATACACTTGCAAATTCTCAGCAAGCCATACATAACCCAAACAAACTTTTTGGCTAGTTTTCACATTAAAACAATAACCAACGATAGTTCAATTACTTTAGTGGTAACCAAGTTATGAAAAGTTGCTTGATAGAACTGATACAGAAAGTTCACCAATTTGAAACTGGAAACAAACCCATTACCAATCAGGTGACTTCAGTTTTGTTAAATGCGCTTCCAAATTACTTTACACAGAGAATCAACATCTCATCATCAACAGTTAAAACTACAAATTTAAAAGAGCATCCTTACCCAAGTTCAGAGGCCAGCTTCATTACCTCGAGCGGGATGTGCTGAACCTGGGTGATGCTTCCAGGCAAAGGTTGCCCCAGGGCCCACGGCCATTGCCAGGGGTGGCCCACGCTGTAGCTGCTGCCCCTCCCCCCTCCTTCCTTTCCCGGGTGGGGGAGGACAGAATCAAGGGTGAGGGGTAAAGGGTAAAACTCTCTTTTCCTGTGAGAGAGGTTAACAGATACCATCTCTTGACTCAAGAGAAGGGAGTAACAAAGTTGTACAGCTGTTTCAAAACTCCTTAGTGATCAATCACAAAACCTGCAGAATCTGCCAAGATGTTTTTAGCTATTCTAACTTTCCCTGTAACCTCCATGAAGGAGGATTCAGACGTGCAGAGGGAAGGGAGTAAGTAAGCCTCAGAGAACCCAAAAGCAGCTGCAGTTTTCCCAATTCCCTAGCGCCGAGGGAATGAACAGACTTGAGCATATACTGCTGATAGGGAGTCCGTCCTTGTCCTCTGTACTGCAGAAGGTGTACCCAGGTCCATGGCCTTGAAATGACCCAGTGGACTGAAAGCCTGAGAGCATCAGGCTGAGTGCGAGACAGACTCATAACTGTCTGCCAGAAAAGCACCTACAATCCTTGGTGCTTGGAGAGCAACCCCAACTGCAGAGCAAGAAAGGAGGGCGGGGAGGATTACATACCTTCCAGTCTTGGCTAGAGAAGAACTTGGGGTTAGGCAGTTTCCCTGTACAGGCCACCAAAATGATGCGGTTCAGGGGCTTAGGGGTTCTGGGACCCCAAAATCACAACACGCAGGTCCTTCCTGAAAGAATTTGACCCAGCCTTCTTTCAGCTAAAGACAGGGTTTATTAGAACATCTGTCATATTGGGCAGACTCTTAAAGAATCTGAACATTAGTGAGCTATTGGCTAGATTATAAGAATCTGAGCAGTGGCTAGATTATAAGAATCTAAGCCCTTCTTTATTTTTTTTTATAAGGCTTTGTACTATTTCACCACAATCATTTCTGGAAAAAGACTTCTTTCCTTCACTCTCCAAATTTTATCCTTCTTTATGCCAAAATAATAGTTGTACAGAAATATCAGTGATACTGACTTTACCTGACAGTTCATAAAATGTTCTCCTCTAGTCATTCATCTTCACTGCTTTCAGAAGCAGTAACATTTTAAAAATTTTATATTTATGGAATAAAATGAACATTTCCATAACAAAATACAATAAAAATTTGATTGTACATAAAACTACAAATCTGTTACACACAACTTGCTGTTTCTTTTAAATATACAATAAAATTATCATGTAAATTTTTTTTGCTTTCTTCCCCCTTCCAGCCTAGAGATGGCTACCGTTAGACACAAATAGGCACACACACACACACACACAAATATATATATATATATATATATATATATATATATATATATATTCTATACATACTTGTGTTTATCAGTTCTTTCTCTGGATGCAGATAGTGTCTTTCTTCATATGTCCTTTGTAGTTAATTTGGGTATTTGTAATAGTCATAATAATTTACTCATTCTCTTCCAGGCCTAAATATATGAATTGGAAAGTTATAGCCCTTTAACACCCTTTTCAGCAGTAAAAAAAAGTTTTCACATACTATTACAGACAGGAGATTGTAGTCTCCCATGCTTGCCTTTGCTCTTAGGGTTCCAGGAGTATTGAACACAATCAAGGTCGTTTCAGAGCACCACATTTTAAGAAGCACAGTGATTGGATGAAAAAGGGAAGGGAAATGCCTTAATTGTGAAGAGGTCAGGCTGATTGGTCGAAGGGACTGGGCTTGGAAGCTTGGAAGAGAAGACTTAGGACTACAGTGATAGCTCTATCTTCAATTATTTCATTTTCATTGTTTATTTCAGCAAGTAGAAAAGGAATTAGCCATATTACTTGATCGAGCTCAGAGGGCAGAAGTAGGAGCCATGAGTACACATTGTTTAAAAAACAACAACACACACACATTTCAAATTGATGTCATTGGAACCATTTACAACAATAAGCATTTATTAAGCACCTACAAAGTGCCAGGCACTCTGCTAAGTGCAGAGAATACAAAAGATGGCCATAATAGCTCCTACCCTTAAGGAGCTTACAAACCAATCAGAAAGAAATTCTTTTCTAAAAATTTTTATTTTTTAATATTTTATTTATGGAAAAAAGCAAGCATTTCCAAAACATAGTATGATTTTAAAAAGATGATTGCATGTGAAATTGCAAATCTGTTATATACAACTTGCTTTTCCTTTTAAATATATAATAAAGTTATCATGTAAATTTCTTTTTTTTATTCCCTTCCATCTCCAATGCTAGAGATGGCTACAGTTTTACACACATATACACACATACCCATGTAAAATCATTCTATACATACTTCAATTTATCAGTTCTTTCTGGGAGAGGAATTGTTAAGCACCTGCTATATACCAGACACTGTGCTGGGAACAAGTGAATAAATGAAACAGTCCCTTGTGGCAAATCAAAATTGAAGTGACTGAGGAAACAAAGGTTCTATCTTTTGGGTATATCAGTTTATTAAGCAGTGCCTGGCAATTGCACAACAAACTGGAACCAGGCCCCTTCCTTAACTTAGGGTTGGACTCAATATAGGAGGAGACATACTTTTATACATTAAAAACAATCAAACAGGACCAATTAATTAAAAGCAAGTAATACAATATTAGGTAATCTGATTTCTAATTGGAGGAAAATGTTGGCGAGGGGAAGGCGACAGGTTCAGTTCCCTTAATTAAGAAAAACAGATGTCCCATTCCCCGCAAGTGTCTGTATACAATCAAAGGAACAGGAAACAATAACTAATTGTTCATTATGGGGCCAGTTTTCAGATAAGACATATAGGTTGCTTGAAATGTACAATTGTGAGAAAACTCCTTACGTCAGTCTTTTTCTATCTGACAGGGTTTCTGGTCAGCATAACTTCGGTCCTTAGTTAAGGGTCTCTAAACAGCAGGTAGAGGTGGTCTTATTTCCCAGTCATGGAGGGCTGGGTTCAAACAATGCAATAAGGTTTTCTCCCAGTTCCCACAATTGAATAAAATTTTTTTTCACAAGACAGAAGTTGGACTAGACCTATAACTGAACAGAAAAAGAACTGAACAATTCTTTACAACATGACTAATGTGAAAATACGTTTAATAGAATGTATATGTAGAGCCTGTATCACATTGCATGCCATTTTGGGGAGGGAACGGGAGAAAATTTACAACTCAAAAGCTTATGGAAGTGATTGTTGAAAACTAAAAATAAATTAATCTAATTGGGAAAAAAAAAGAAAAAGTACTGAGCTACCTCTAAAATTGAGTCACAAGATGGAGTCAGTGTGGTTGACTCAATTGCCTCAATGCTCAGTTGCCACTTGCTGTCTGAATGCCCTCAGTTTCCTTACCCTGCTGGCAAGCATTTTACATTTGAACTTCATAACAGTTAGAGCTGGGTAAGCATAAATGTTTTTGGTATTTCAGGAATCAGTGACATTCAAGGATGTAGCTGTGGAATTCACCCGAGAGGAGTGGGTACAATTGAACACATCTCAGAAAAAGTTGTACAGGGATGTGATGCTGGAGAACTATAGGAACTTGTTCTCTTTGGGTAAGAAAAGCTATCCCTTTGAGGTCTTAATATATACTGTGACAGCTTTTAAGATTTTTAACAATTATTCTTTGGCATACACAAGGAAACTATAATTGTAGCCAAGAGACAGATTACTTGTGCTACCTGTTTCCAGGAAAAAGGTCTTTGCTTAGTATGTCTGGAAATTGATTTCTTGATTTGTTCTTGATTTCTTGATTCTTTGAGAATATATCTTCCCCTCTCTGTTGCTTCAAATCCAAGATGTTCTTTTTAATCCCAATATAGGTTTCATCATACACAATGTTCCCACTGTCTAAGCAGAGAGTCACTCAAATGAACTGTTGTTTAAATCCTATTCAGTAGTCCATTCTACCATAATATAGAATATCCTTGGGTGGTCCTTTGTACTGTCCTTGAGGTCTTCCTATCATGTCTACTTGAGGGCTTGAACTGGCTTTGAATTCTTTTATTACATTTTGTAGATGCTTTTTTAAAAATGTAATTTCTCCTCCCCCTGCCACCTAAAAAAATAGATAAAAGAAAAAACCCTACTTCTCCCTCCAGCCAGCCCATTAAGGCTATCTTGGTTGGGGAAAAAAAATCTCAGACAAAATGAACTAACATAGTGCCCTTGATGGTATAAGATACATTCAGCACTCTTATTCCCCCACCTTTCTACTAAGGGTTGGAAGGAATGTTTCATCTATCTGTTCTGTGATGGAACTCCAAGATGACTACCTAGTATTTTTTCATTTTCAACAAACAGGATTTGCAGTTTCCAAACCAGATGTGATCTACCAGTTGGAAAGAAAGGAAGCGTCTTGGATGCCAGAGGCAGATATTCCAGAAGGCAGTTGTCCAGGTGACTTCATAAAAACCAAGCAGTTGGGTCGTTGCAAAATAGTGATCTGTTGGTCATTTTAGATCAAAGCTCTTGTAAAATGTTGAACAGAGGGGCCTATTAAAGCTTCTCGGACCTATTGAGAGGAGCTGAGACTTTAAAACTTCATTTTTTACATCAAGAAGTTACTTATTTTTAATATATCTCTTTACTGCACTCTACCTTTACTCTAAAAGAAAGTTTTTGCCTCTGTACAGGGCAGTTAAGATTATCTTATCGTAAGCAGGTATTCCCTGCCTCACTTGCATGAATTAATTCTTCCTTTTTAAAATTTAAAATATTAATATTTAATCATTATTTATTTGATTAATAATTTAATTAATTTTAAATATTACTAAATATTAAGTATTAAAAATTTAAGATTTTAAGTAATGTGCTCTTTTTGCTTCTCAGTTCTCTTCTGATATTTTCTTTTGTTTTGTTTTATGATTATGTTGCTTTGCTGCTGTTACCCTTAAAAATATTTAATACTAACCCAATTCCCCTTTTTTCAGTCTATCGTGTTATGTCATCTTGTTTTTCTTTAGGCTTTGAAATCACATTTGTAAAGGCAAAATAATATGTTCATATGACTTGTTTAGCCATCATCCCATCATTGGACCTATAGGTTTTCCTTAATTTGCAATTTCACAAAAAGCTATCCTGAAAATTTTAAAGAGAGTTCTTTGCTTTTGGTAATATTTTGAAGATTTAGACCTGGTAGTGGGACCATTGTGTCAAAGGGTATGAACAGTTTTATAGCTGTACTTGAAACTGCTATGTTACTTTTCAGAAAATGGCAGTAACGGTTTAATAAGTAGCTAATTCAATATAACTGCTGAAAGTTGTCATTTTGAAGAATGTTTCCTAATCTCATGGATATTTATTGATACTTGTCAGTTGTTTTCATTTTTACTTCTTTGATTACCAGAGTTTGAGTAATGTTTCAGGTCAATATTAATAATTTCTCTCATTGAAAATACTTTTAATCAATTCCTTAAAAAGTAGATATGTTGGATTTTTAGAGGATGTTTATGGCAACAATTGTCACGTTTTTCCCTCATATTTCTTGTTTATTGTGTTTACTTCATTTATCTGTTTCTTTTCCTTACTCTAAACTAAGCTTTCTGTTTTCTTTCTGTTCAGTCTTTTCCCTTCCTATTTCATCTCAGATGGTAAGAATTCATTTGCAAGTTCTCAAAGTCATCTTTTTTTTATGAATAGTCTTATTCCATTCAAATGTCAGCCACCTACAGTAAAGTAAGGCTTCATTCCTCTAGGTAATTTCATCCTCAGTCAATTCATTTACATATGTTACCTTTGAGTCTTCATACTTCCACACAAGATAAACTGATCCTTAGTGAAAGACTAGTGCGATTAGTCATCTCAGGTGAGAAGACAAGAGAATAGCTCTGTTGCAGTTTCATGGTATGTTGTGGCTGCACCATCTCAAAGAATTCAGACTCAGACCACCTCTAATCCAAGTATTGGCATTTATTGAGGATTGACGCCCTTAGAAGTAGGCTGGTTTCCAAGAGGAAGCAGGAACTTCAGAGAAAGTAAGATGGCTTTTTATAGGATAATGATGCAATTGCATGACAGAAATGATGAGTATTAAAAAGGCAGGAGGGATTTGTTAAGGGATTAGGTAATAGTGGGGGGTCCCTTCTATGCTATAGTGGTCAAACATCCTGGTTGTGCTGCCCTCTGATTGGCTAGCTTTGTGGTCCTGTCTGGTCAAGATGAATAGTTAGGTATCATGGGCCTGCCTTGGGCTAAATGGATGATGTGATTGTGGTTGAGTACAGAAACACACCTGTTCAGATATGTGAATTGGATCAGGAGGCAGTGGCTAACTAGGGCCAGTGACTATATTGAGTCTGGGGGCCTGTGGTGTGGTTAAAGCCAGATTAAGTGGTTAAATCAGGGTGTGTCTTTGTTCAGTGGGGCCCATAAGGAAGTTAGAATGTTGGGGCTGGGGCAGCTTTATTAGGATTCCATCATCTCTAAAACCTTTGAGCAACTAACTTTGTGAAAAACTTTGAGCAGCTTGGAAAAGGGGGAAAAAAGGTAGGGTTAATCAGCTCTTTATTCTTCCTTTCAGAGAGCAGAGAATTTACTGGAGATAAACCTCCTGAATGTAATGAATGTGGGAAGGCCTTCAGAAGCAAGAATCATCTTGCTGTGCATCAGAGAATTCATGCTGGAGAGAAACCTTATGAATGTAGTGAATGTGGGAAAGCCTTCAGGATTAAAAAACAACTTTCACTGCATCAGAGAATTCATACTGGAGAGAAACCTTATGAATGTAATGAATGTGGGAAAGCCTTCAGGATTAAAAAACAACTTTCACTGCATCAGAGAATTCATACTGGGGAGAAACCTTATAAATGCAGTGTATGTGGGAAGGCCTTCAGGATAAAAAAATACCTTTCACTGCATCAGAGAATTCATACTGGAGAGAAACCTTATAAATGCAGTGTATGTGGGAAAGCCTTCACTTGGAAGATATGTCTTATTTTACATCAGAGAATTCATACTGGAGAGAAACCTTATGCATGTAGTGAATGTGGAAAGGCCTTCAGGAACAAGAATCATCTTTCTGGGCATCAGAGAATTCATACTGGAGAGAAACCTTATGAATGTAGTGAATGTGGGAAGGCCTTCAGGATTAAGAAACAACTTTCACTGCATCAGAGGGTTCATACTGGAGAGAAACCTTATGAATGTAGTGTATGTGGGAAGGCCTTCAAGATTAAGGTAGAACTTAAAATGCATCAGAGAATTCACACTGGGGAGAAACCTTATAAATGTAATGTATGTGGAAAGGCCTTCAAGGTTAAGAAAGAACTTTCAGTACATCAGAGAATTCATACTGAGGAGAAACCTTATGAATGTAGCGTGTGTAGAAAGGCCTTCAGGATTAAGAAAGAACTTTCACTTCATCAGAGATTCATACTGGGGAAAAACCTTATAAGTGTAGTGAATGTGGGAAGGCCTTCAAGATTAAGAGCAAACTTTCAATGCATCAGAGAATTCATACTGGAGAGAAACCTTATAAATGTAGTGTATGTGGGAAAGCCTTCAGGCGTAAATCAGGACTTACTGTGCATCAGACAGTTCATACTGGAGAGAAACCTTATAAATGTAGTCAATGTGGGAATACCTTCAAGAGTAAGATAGGGTTTACTGGGCATCAGAGAATTCATACTGGGGAGAAACCTTATGAATGTGGTGATTGTGGGAAGGCCTTCAGGAATAAGTCAGGACTTACTGTGCATCAAACAGTTCATACTGGAGAGAAACCTTATGAATGTAAATGTGGGAAGGCCTTCAAGAGTAAGTCAGGGCTTACTGTGCATCAGACAATTCATAGTGGAGAGAAACCTTATGAATGTAGTGAATGTGGGAAGGCCTTCAATCTTAAGATAGAACTTTCAGTGCATCAGAGAATTCATACTGGAGAGAAACCTTATGAATGTGGTGAATGTGGAAAGGCCTTCATGTGGAAGGGAAATCTTACTCGACATGAGATGATTCATACTGGAGATAATCCTTATAAATGTAGTGAATGTGGCAAGGCCTTCAGGATTAAGATGAAACTTACAAAGCATCAGAGAATTCATATTGGGGAGAAACCTTATAAATGTAATATATGTAGAATGGCCTTCAGGATTAAGAGCAAACTTTTACTTCATCAGAGAATTCATACTGGGGAGAAACCTTTTAAATGTAGTGTATGTGGGAAAGCCTTCAGGCGTAAGTCAGAACTTACTGTGCATCAGACAGTTCATACTGGAGAGAAACCTTATGAATGTAGTCAATGTGGGAATGCCTTCAAGAGTAAGATAGGGTTTACTGGGCATCAGAGAATTCATACTGGGGAGAAACCTTATGAATGTGGTGATTGTGGGAAGGCCTTCAGGAATAAATCAGGGCTTACTGTACATCAAACAGTTCATACTGGAGAGAAACCTTATTAATGTAGTGAGTATGGAGAGACCTTGAGGAGGAAGTCACATCATACTGAGCATCAGAAACTTCATACTAGAGACTTCTTTATGAATGTAAGGAGGTGAGGGAAGGCTTTCCCCTGCAACTCAGATCTTAATTAACATTAAAAAATTCATACAGTAGGGGGCAGCTAGGTGGCGCAGTGGATAGAACACCAGCCCTGGATTCAGGAGGACCTGAGTTCAAATACAGCCTCAGACACATAACACATACTAGCTGTGTGACCCTGGGCAAGTAACTTAACCCCATTGCCCAGCCAAAAAACAAAACAAAACAAAAATTCATACAGTAGAGAAAGCTTATGAATGTGGTGAATATATGGAGGCCGTCAGGAGTAAGACACTACTTTCTCTGCACCAGAGAATTCATACTGGGAAGATACTTTATGAATATAAGGAGTGTGGGAAGGTTTACCCTTGCAAGTCAGAACTTATTTGGCATCAAAGAATTCATACTGGAGAGAAATTGTACGAATGTAGTGAATGGAAGGCCTTCAGGATTATGACACATCAGAATTCATGTTAGAGGCATTCTTTTTGAATGTAAGGAGTATGGGAAGGCTTTCCCCTACAACTCAGATCTTACTCAACATCAAAAAATTAATTATGAAGAGAAACCTTATGAATATAACAAATGTGGGAAGACTTTCAGAGTGAGGATACAATTTACTCAACAGCAAAGTATTCATTCAGGAGAGAAACATTAAGAGTGTAATGCATTTAAGAGGACCTTTAGTCTGAGGACACTAGTTTATTTCCATCAGAAAATTCATTCTCTTGAGATTCCTTATGAATATGAGGAGTAAGGGAAAGCCTTCCCCTGCAATTCAGATTTTATTAAACATCAAAAATACATGCTGGAAGAAAACCTTATGTATGTAGTGAATGTGGGAAGGCGTAATTCATACCTTATGAATATAATGTACAAGGAAAGGCCTTACACTTTAATGTATCTTTTACTCAATATCAGAGCATTCATACTGGAGAGAGACTTTATGAATGCAGTGAGTGCGGGAAGCCCTTTAGCCTGAGGACAGAACTTGCTCGGCATCAAAGAATTAATTCTGGAGGGAAACCTTTTGAGTTTGGGAAGCCCTTTAGACTAAGGACACTACTTTATGTCCATCAGATAATTCATACTAGAGTGATTCTTCGTGAATATAAGGCGTGTGGGAAGATTCCCCCAGCTGACTAGACTGTGATTCTGAGTCCCTGGATGTAGTTCAGAGAATCTTCAGGCTCTTTGGGAGAAGAAGATATCCCTCCCCTCTGCAGAGGCCTCTAAATGGGCAAAAATTTAGTGTTATCCTCCTATTTAGTGTTATCCAGGGTGGGAGAGGTTATGCTGGCTGAGCCAAGTGGTTACTTAGTGAATGGTGGTTAGTGTTAACTTTGATCCCTGGGCATATGGCATGCAAGATGCTTGGGGATGACATCTTGGCCATGAGATGATCCAGTGCCTAATCTGTGATGAATAATTGTTGACAGAGCTTGAGGAATATGTCATAATCTGAGCTGTGTTCCTGATGTTGCTGGTGCTGCTTCTGCTCTTATTCATTTGGGTAGCCACTGTGGACTATAAAGACTTGGAATCACCCTATTTAAAACAAAGCATCCCAATGGCCTATGACAGATGTTGATGCAAGGCGATTTCTGCCTAGTGTTCTGAATGTCAAAGGGAAGAAGTTCATTGAAATGCAGGTAAACAGCAGGATTAACTATAACCTTATGGTAGCCAAATGTCTTGTCATCCAGTTAGTGACACACGTGAAAAAATGAATAAGATTTTCCCATTTTGATTAAATATTATAAATAGGGTTTTCAATAAGGAAATCAAAGCTATCAATAATAATGAACACATGCTCTAAATCACTATTGGTTAGAGAAGTATAGATGAAAACAACTTTGAGGTAATAACCTCACACTATCTCAGATTGGCCAACATGACAGAAAAGGAAAATGACAGATTCTGGAAGGGATGTGGAAAAATAGGGATGCTAATGCACAATTCAGAACTGGTCCAACCATTCTGGAGGACAATTTGGAACTGTGCCCAGAGGGCTATAAAGCTGCTCATGCTCTTTGATACACCAATATCACTGCTAGGTCTGTAGTCTGGACAGATAAAAGAAAAAGGCAGAAGACCTCTGTGGACAAAAAGGTCTTTTTATGGAGGCAAAGAATTGGAATTTGAGGGGATGTGCATCAATTGCTGAATGGCTGAAGAAGTGGTTGCATATGATTATGATGGAATATGATTGTGCTCTAAGAAATGAGGGGGATGATTTTGGCAAAACCTGAGAAGACCTATATGAATAGATGCAGAGGTAAGCAAGCAGAACTAGGAGGGCCTTGTATATAGTAACAGCATTGTTTTAATGATGATTACACAATCAACTGTGAATGACCTAGTTACTCTGACCAAGAAAATGATCGAAGAAAATTCCAAAGCCCTCATGATGAAAAATGCTGTCCATCTCCAGAGAGAACTGACAAACAGTGTAAATTGAAGTATATTTTTTTACTTTTTAATTTTCTTGCTTTTTATGACATGGCTAATTTAGAAATGTTTTGAATGATTTCACATGTATAATGGATATATTGCTTGTCTTCTCAATGGCTGAGGAAGAACAAATTTGGAATTCAATTTTAAAAAGTATGTTTAAAATAAGTACCATTTTTTCAAAAGATGGAGGAAAAGCATTTGAAATCACCCATGACATAGATCATATTATTGTCCTCTTGAGACTTGAACTTTTCTATAGCAGAGAGAAAAAAACCTAAGATTTCTGCCTGGCTCCCTGAACCCCAAGAATGTTTCTGCCATTTCAAGCCAGATGGGTGTACAGTTCAGTGGGAGCCAATTTTTGGAGGTCCAGGCTTGGGCTCTATGGTAGTAGAAGTTTTGGTTAATGGCTTGTGTACACACCAGCCAGAAGTTAGCTCTGTAGCCACTCATCTAATCCTAGACGATAGTCACCTAGTCTTCCCTGTTTCAGAGAGCTGGAAATGATCTACAAGTAATCATTTACAAGCCTGTTGTTCCCGTACTTTCATTACCTCAACCTCAAGTGTTCCATCAAGCTCAGTGTCTGGAGCTGTTACCCTCTTCTGGCCCCTCTTCAGTGATTTTGAGGCATCTTGTCACCTGGTGGACAGGCAATATGTAATCAACTTGTAAAAAGACAGGCTGAAATCACACGGTGGTGAGCTTTAACTGAGCAGTTAATGTTTTTCCTAGAGTCAATTGGAAGGCATTCTTTCCCCTGCACCACCTAGCTGCCCTTAGAAAGCTACTGAAGCCCTAGAACAGAATGATATGATTTTTAATTACCATTTTGGTAATTGTATAGAGAATGTTTTTGAAAGGAGAAAGACTGCCTCTATGTCTGTTTTGTTCAGGACCTGTAATTTCATCCTTATGGGGAAGTCACAATGTGGAGGTTATCTACACTCATCGAGATGTACTACTGCTCTGTAAATGATTTTCCTAGGCAAACTATGATGCCAGAGGACTGAAGATAAGCATGCTGCCCATCTCTTTTGGAGAGGTGATGGATTTAAAATACAGAATGAACCTTAGATTTTGGGGTGTGACTAATGTGGAAATTTATTTTGCTCGACTGTGTGTGTGTGTGTGATGAAGGTTATACTTCTTTTTGTTTCGTGAGGAAGAAGAAAAAATAATTGCTAAAAATAAAAGTAAAATTTTAAGTTAAAAAAAAAAGACCTATAATGAGGGCCTAGAGCATGTCTAGAACTCCTGAGCTGGAATATGTGTAGAACAGCATTACATAAGGGGCAGCTTGGTGGTGTAGTGGATGGCTTGCAGGGGCTGGAGTCTGGAATGCTTATATTCCCAGTTCAATTGCTGAGTCAGACATTTAGTAGCTGTGTGTTTCTGGCAAGTTACTTAACCCTGTTTGTTTAAGTTTGCTCATCTGTGAAATGAGGTGGAGAAAGAAATGGTAAACCACTCCAGTGTCTTTGTCAAGAAAACCCCAAATGCAGTCATAAAGAGTCAGACCTAAGTGAAATGACAGAACAACTATGTATATGTATATGTATATGTATATGTATATGTATATGTATATGTATATGTATATGTATATGTATATGTATATATATGTATATGTATATGTATATGTATGTGTATACACATCCACATTTGTATGTAAGCTTTTTGGAAATCAGGATTGCCTAATTCTTTGCCTTTGTCACCTTTGTTGATCTCCGTGCCTGATACATAGTAGGTGCTTAATAACTTTATTTAATTGGTTTGAAGCTACCCCATGAAGGATTAGAATTCCTTTTTGTTTTTTAATTTTATATAAATTTATTTATTTTTGGTTTTCAACATTTACTTCCACAAGATTTTGAATTCTAAATTTTCACCCCATCTTGCCCCTCCCCCCAAAATGGCATGAATTCTGAATACCTCTTCACCTAGTCTGCCCTCCCTTCTCTCTCTCGCTTCTCTTATTTCTTTCCCCTTCTATTTTCTTGTAGGGCAGGATAGATTTCTGTACCTCATTTCCTGTATTTCTTATTTCCCAGTTGCATGTGGAAACATTTTTTTTAAAACATGTGTTTTTAAAACTTTGGGTTCCAAATTTTCTCCCTTCCTCCCACCCCACCCACCCTCATTGAAAAGGCAAGCAAGTCAATACAGGCCATACATGTGCAGTTATGCAAAACACTTCCATAGTAGACATGTTGTGAAAAACTAACTCTATTTCCCTTAATCCTATCCTGCCCCCCCATTTATTCTATTCTTTCTTTTGACCCTGTCCCTCCTCAGAAGTACTTCCTTCTGATTACCCCTTTCCCAATCTGCCCTTCTCTCTATCATCCCCCTGCTCTCTTGTCCCCTTCCTCCCCTATTTTCCTGTAGGGTAAGACAGATTTCCATAACCAATTGAGTGTGTATGTTATTCCCTCCTTAAGCCAAATCCTATGAGAATAAGATTCCCTCATTTCCTCTCACTTCCCTGTTTCCTCCGTAAGAACTTTTCTTGTCTGTTTTGTGTGAGATAATGTACCCCATTCTACCTCTCCCTTTCTCCTTCTCCTGGTATAATCCTCTCTCGCCCCTTAATTTTATTCTCCAGATATCACCCCTTCATCTTCAACTCAGCCTATGCCCTCTTATCTATCTATCAATCTA